ACTCGATATATCGACGCCGAGGATATACTGGCTGAGGCAACAAGCGGAGTGCCTTAAAACTGTAGAGATACGACAAATGGGTTCTTTTTAGCGGTGAACGCGTAAACTTGTGTCTTTGAGGATTAAACTGGACTAGATTTAGTCGCCTCCAATCCGAGACTTTATTCAGCAAAAACCCGACTTCAGACACAATTTTTTTCCGGAACTCGGCGACTTTTACCCGAGAAATATTGGACAGCCGGTGTATAGAGCATCACCAGTGCTGTCATCCGCATAATAATGAATGTTAGTGGTTCGCAACATATAATTGATGCAGAAGAATTTTAACATTAATAGGCTTGTAGTCGGAGTATTCACCGTCTACAATGACCTTGATGCTCCGATCTGCAAGAAAGCTGGTGATCCAATTGCACAATTTCTCGGGAAGCCCATAGGAAGGAAGTTTCGAAAGAAGCGCTTTGTACCAGACCCGATCGAAGGTATTCGCTATGTCGAAACTAACGGCCAATGCCACCCTTGGACTCTACTGCCTCTGCCTATCTATGAATCAGGTAGAGCAGAAGATCACCAACTGATCGACTCCGACGAAACGACCCGCGGTCACTATTCAGCTGGTGATCCTCAAGGTACAGCATGAGCTGGCAGTTTATAATGGATTCCATTATTTTGAGAACAAGGAGGTGATTGCGATAGGCCTGTAATTAGACGGGTCTGAGCGGTCGCCTTTTTTAGGGATCAAGTGTACAAAAGCCGTCTTCCGTTATTTCGGGACAACGTCTAGGGAGTAGGAGTACCGGAAAAGATGCGTTAGAATATATAAACCCGATATCTGTCCGGATGAGTGGTCAGCAGAAGGTCCAACAGGGAAGGTGCATGATCCTCCACATCTGGAATCCGCGTAGACGAAGTAAGCAGTTATTATTCGCCAACAAACTGCCCTGCAGTTTGGCGACAGTAGTGTAAGAAATAACCGAACGTATTTTTGTATAATAACCATAAAAAAAAGCAGTGTCCACTCCGGAGCACACGTCTTCAGCATAATTAGGGGGATTCCGTCAGGCCCACTCCACTTGTGGATGTCCAAGGAGCGGAGTGCTTTGCGAACTGAGTGCTGCGTGAACCGCACATATGGCATGGAGCACTCACGCCGTTGGATGGTCGGCGCTGTGTTCCCCCGTCATCGAGAGTCGAGTTGGACGCAAAGGAAGAGCCTACCTAGCAAATCGGTTTTCTCCTGCTTGTAACGTGATGCTATTTTACAGGAGCGATTAAATCATGGCTGAGATCAACCTCCTATGGGCACCACAGAGGAAGGAATAAAAAGTTCCATACCCTGAAGTACCACATCAGCAACAGAATTAGCAACAATGTTGGGATTGTCCGGTGAGAAGCAAACCTGCCTCCAAGGGTAGGATGCAAAGAAAGACCGCATCTCATCCCAATCGACTCACCTATAGTGCCAAACACGGCGGCAGCCTGCAGAAAGCAACCGCGATTTCAGTGGGAGTGGCACCACACTCCGGACTGGACAATGGTCCGAGGAGTCAAGACGGGCGTCTAATAATAATAATAAAAAAAACTTACTATTTAGATATAAGGCACAATATAATAATTGATAGAATCAGGCGTAACTTTGCGGAAATCCATTATAATGGGGTTGTTATAAACTAATCAACATCTAAAGATAACATCATGGATTTAGGTGGAATACGGATATTTTTAATGTTGGAAATGAGATCTAAACTATTTTTAAGGCTGTAAGTTGGTTTGAATCCAGATTTCTCCCGCAGAAGGAAGTCTAACTTTTTAGCAAGGAAATAACCTGGTGCACCTATATGTATGATACAACTGGACGAATAGGAACCTGTTCTTTATGTATTTGAGGTAACCCATATAAAATGGGTGCTTGAGGATTCATTGGAACAAGACTGCTGCGAGACACGGTGTGGTCGGGAACAATATATGATGACTGTTGTATACATACTTTAATATCCGAAGTAAACTTTTTGGTGGGGTCAGACTCCAAAAGCTCAAAGTCATCACCTTGGATAACATCGTTAACCTTCTGGCCATACCCGCTATACTCCATAATAACAACAGTATTGCCCTTGTCGGCTTTAGTAACAATAATAGCATTGTCCCTTATTCTCTGCTTTAGTGACTTAAAAACAGGGAACTCCGGATTGCAATGGTAAGAAGCAGGTACAGCCTGAATTTCTTTCGCCACCTGTTTTTAAGTCTAGAATTAAAGCAAAGAATAACGCGTACAGGAATTGTAGCCCCGATAAATCACATTTTGCTAAACATCTCTTAGACACTGGACACAGCCTAGCCAATGACCACTCCTTTAAAGTCTTACATACTTGTAGTAAAGGGCTACGACTGTGTGTGCTGGAACAGTTAGAGATATTAAAAAAAATAACGGTAACGTTGCACTGCTGAATGAACAAACAAATGTTTCCAACTCGCCTCTCTTAAACATGTTTAAGCCTGCTCCTTGATGATATATAGCTTAGCAACATGGTCGTTTGTCACCCTCACGGTGCGGTGGTTGTAGGGTAGGCGGACGTTTCGCAGTAGTTTGTTGTTAATTTCACAGCAAATATCGGCGTACGTCAGGCGGTGATTGATCGCATGACGTAATGGCTCGCTACGTAATTGGAGCGCGGTTGCGTCAGCAAGTAGTATAAATAGCAGTAGTTTCGGCTCGCTGTTCACTTAGCGGCCAGCCTCCGCAGAGTCTACTTCACCTGAGGATGCCTCGTGTAGAGGCGAAACACGTGTCGCATTTTCGAGAGTGGTGTGTCGTGCCTACTGTGGTGGTGCTGGGGGTGGTAGTGCTGGGATTAACGGCAAATTAACTGCTGAAGATATAGTTCCCTCGTGATTGATTGTGCTCGTGCGGAGACGATTTTCAGTGCCGCCTCAAGCCAACAAAGAAAATAGAAAACTATGTACGTACATTTCAAGTGTAACGCCAAAAACATGCTCATCATTTTACATACGCACTCATCTTTCTTCTTTACAAGCTTGTAAAAATCCATTGCTAAACGCAAACCTAAGCATGTAACAATAAAAGCTAAGCATAAAACTTTGTTGTTAGTTGTATGGTTTCTCGGTTGGATTTAATTGTTGTGTGTTGTGTCGCTTGAAATGTATGTAGCATTTGCTGTTGCACGTATGGGCCGGCTCGAGCCGGGGTGGTACCACGACCGCACAGGATACCGGCGTGAAGCGGAAGCTCTGCTTTTGCGTTTCGTCTGGTGAGTGCAGGAGGCCGGAGACAAATTCCCCATCCCCCTCCCCATCAACATGGTAGCGGAATTAAAAGTAAGACTATCCCAGGAGGGTATTTCCAGTACCCCTGGAGAATCCCTCGTTGCGCTTCCACGACCAAGCTACTCCACTCCTGAACGTGGGTGTAGGCAGGCTCAGCATGCCTTGCGTATTCTGGGGGAGGGCTGCCATTACTACTGGGGTAGCGACCACTGCCACGCTATCTATGAATTTCTGCAACATGAGGGGCTTCACTGGAACCTAAACGCCGTCCACTACCATCCCGAGATGGTGAAGCTGGCCTTACTCTTCCTGACCGAGACGCAGGTGTCCTCTGCGGTTGATACTTCTTATCTCTCCTACCCGAGGTACAAATTGGAACACTACTTTGTGCCTCGGGCTAGAGTTTGCGTATACGTCAGAGAGGACATCTGTTCTCGACGCCTCGGCAGTTTTGAAGATACGGACCTGTCCATCCTTTGGCTACGCGTAGACAGCGACGACCATCCGCGCGTATACGTGTGCCTCGATAGGTCCCACAGCGGTAATGCCGAAACAGACAGACTCATCGACCACGTCCAAATGGCAACACATTCCTTGCTACAACAGGTCCCATCCACAGAGATCGTGATCCTGGGCGATTTTTAAGCCCACCACGCCAAATAGCTCGGTTCACGTTTAACCGATTATGCGGGGAGATCTGTTCATGATTTTGCCTTGGCATATGGTCTGACATAACTGCTTACTTCGTCTACGCGGATTCCAGATGTGGAGGATCATTCCTTCGACGAACGAACCTTCCCTGTTGGACCTTCTGCTGACCACTCATCCGGACAGATATCGGGTCTCCGTCAAAGCCCCTCTTTTTTTATCGTTAACTCTACAAACTCGCGGTCCGTACCCTTTATTACATTTTAGAATTATTATTATATTACATATTGAATTTCTAAACTATTACATCTCTCCGTGTATTTAAATGTACATGTTTTCTTTTACAATTTATGAGTATTATATTGTGGGGTTGTTATAAACTAATTTGCTTAATTCCGCGTGAAGAAAGAAAATGATGTGTCCTGCCCAGTTTTAAGGGGACCTCCCACCCTCCCTCAATCGCGCACACTATACCCGTCGCCGTCAATCCCAGCACTACCATCCGCAGCACCAACACACTAGGCACCTCCGTCCATCGACTTTCTGCACTTTTTATCAAGTCGTCACCTTCATCTAGCGGGAGCTGCCTTACGGTGTACCTATAAAGGTATTCTGTAGGGCCACTTGTTGACTATTTTGCTTATTATGTTTTAAACAATATTTGTCTGAATGTTTATTAGATGGAAAGATTTACATTATTTTCTGGAGGACGATTCAGGATATCGAGTTACTTTATGCACTGTAATTAGTAGCGACTCTAGTTCCATACACAGACTATTGTTCTGTCTGAACATCTATTCAGTCGTCAGTTATTTTTTAAGAGCTTACAGTTTGAAGACTGGAATTTTAAACTTATTGTTTAAAATTCCAATCGGAAACCAATTTGCTATAATTTTCAAAACTAGTATCGAATCAAATCAAATCTCAGTTTTTCTCATTTAAGCTTAAGCTTCCCTTAGTCCACAGTGGAATATACACGATTTAAATTTTTTCTTGCTCGAGACAAAATTGTCCAAGTACTAGTGGCGTTGAAAAATATACGAATTCCTTACATTAGAAATAAAAAGTTCGGTAGGTAATAATATATTTATTAAACTATATGTTTATTACACTTCAGAAAATTACGACTACCCTACCATCGCTGATGGCTTGGATGTTTTGTTTTGTCAGTTATCAAATCTGGGTGTCACATTAAAAGTTCACTGACAATTGACAATCAAAGGTTACAATCTTGAAAAATCTGGTGTTGCCAGCAGTGTGTATGAAAGCAGTCGTTTTTTCTTCACTTTCTTAACTAAGATACAGTATTTTACATTTACACTGAAAATACAAGACGCAAACGTATATTGTGTTGTAATAGTCATATAATTATAAAAATATTTTCTTTAAAGTTTCTTTAAAAATTAATAAATTGAGATTTATTCTTATAAAAGATAGCCTTAAATATATTTTTTTACGAACATTCTAAGGTATATTTATTTATATAGAAATTATCGCTCAATCAGGAAACTATGTAACAAAAGCTAACATTTACAATTTGTGATTACGATTTACATTTCTTTATATTTCTTTATAATAAAAATTAAAGAATTTTGACGGTGGAAAATTTACAACATTGTAGAATTGTAGCAACAATTTTTGTTCTAACTTGACAGGCAAATTGGTGATATGCACATACTTGTAGAATGTGTGTCGGATTGTAACATTTATTAGATAGGGCTCCGGTATAAAGCACACTTGATCGATATTTAAAATTTGTAAATAGATAAAAAATCTATAACACTAAACATATTATAAATCTTAAAAACAGATTTACATATAACAGGTATGATAAATGGTACAAAGTAATATAAATATTATAGAATAATTTACGTTGATTTTTTGTTTGTTTTGATTGTTTGTTTTGGCTTGTGATTAATTAATTTTAAAAAGATAATATATGACTTAGGTGCCGTCCGTGTAATTTACTGCAAACATCACAAGTCCCATACATACTTTTAATTTTTGTCGCAAAATTTAATCTTTTATCTGGGCAGTTAACAATAACTGCAAAAGGTATTGTTGTAGTTATTATTCCATGTGTGATACACATAGCGATTAACTTTAACACATCTTATTCATAAGAATTACGTAACGCAAAGTCGTGATTAAAGCTTGTTTTAATTCTATGAGATTTTTTTATTTATGCACTAGGTTTGATTCAATCAGTTCAAGTTATTTTGGCATCAAAAGAATACATTCAGTAAAAACCATTTAAACAGCCGAGTTTAAGAGCTCGCATCTTGACATTTAAAAAAAAGAGTTATTATTGAACTCTATGTCAAATTTAAATTATAATCATGTCTATGCATGCTCTATGCATAATATAGGAGGCAGTGTAGAATCAAAATATTTTTTAATCATAAGTGCTTACAAATCATGAATTAAATGTTATTGTTCGAATTGAAGTTTTCATAATATAATCTGTGGCGATATGTCAATGGTCCGGGGAGGCGAACGTCGCTAGGCACGGAGATTCCGTATCCGCGATAAGTCCCGTGAAGGTGCGACGCTAGTGATGCGCGGTTTCAGGCAATGTTTTCATTGTTACCGTCCAACCTCTTGAGCTGAAATGAATCATATTTATAATTTTAGCTTTTTAATACAATGTTAGGAAGACCAGCGAATATTGACAGATCCTGCTTGTAATCTAATTATGGCAAAGCAAACATCAGGAGTTTAGTGGGTGTTCATTTCCTTTAAATATTTTTTTTGCATAATCTTTGCACCACTTTCTAAACTAATCTCTATTTGTATACTTTTGGAAATAAAAGCTTGTTATGCGCGACAAGATTTATTGTTGTTTGTTGTTCGTTGTTTATAATATAAATTGCACCATCTATCAATAACGCAAAAGTGATCTACTCCCATTTTTGTTTAAATACGGTCAAAGTCCTTTTGCATTAGGATATAACGTGGAGGCGGTTTATATACATAAATTGCACCAGACACACATCCAGAGCCGGAAAAATAATTTGTTGTCCATACACATGTTCTGTGCGGGATTCAAACCCGCGGTCCTACGCCGCGACCAAATGCTTAGCCACTTCGCTATATAACTGTCTCTGCAAAAAGTACAAGATAATAAATAAAATATTGTATCACTAAAGTCAGTTTTGAAATTTTCGATACATAATGTGGTGATAAGCAACGATTTTGAAGTATTCATTCCGCATTTATATTTATTTTAAGTCGGTCGGTTTAGCTTTTGGGTCGGAAATTTATTATTATTTATTATTTGAAATAATTTATTATTATTTATTACGAAGATGTAATTTACAAAATTGTAATATATAATTATAGACAAAACCCATTTTTTCAACAAAAATCTTAAATAGAAATTGAATATTTTTTTATCATTATGTAAAATTAAAACATTTAATACAGCTATTTAAAATTAACTTTTACACAATTTAATTTACAGGTTTGAGCTAAAAAAAAATATTGTTTCATGTCGTACTAGAATAGTATGTGACAAATAAAAAATATTACAATAGAATAGTTTTAGTGTATTTTTTGTAAAAGTTTTATTTATTACAGATGCATGTCTCTTCAGGATTTTATCAATTAACTATCTACTTACCTGATGTGAAAAATCTGCATTTACTATTGCAGGTAACATTTTTTGGCTGTACTGGTTTAACATTTATGTTAATGTCCTTTAAAAATATAATTTTAACCAATGAAGACACAAAATGATTACAATTTTATCTTTAAAATATGGATTCAAATTATCACACGGTTAACTTATTCTTTTGGGAATATTATAAATGCAGATAAGCTTAGGTAAAAAATATCGATATATCAGTATTTAAAAAAAAATCATCGATATATATCGTCGAAATTCTGAATCTATATATATAAATATTCGATATTTATTTTAGAGTATCAATTTCGATATATAATAAAACGCAAATCTGGTTTCTTATTTAATGTTACCTAGATTCTCCCTGCATGATCGCGAGATGCGCGAGGTATCGTTTATTTTTTTAAAAAAACAATAATCTTCATCAAATCTAATATCATAGTAAGACCATAGACAAAACAAAATCATTCATTTGCTTTTGTTTACTGTGTTTTAATAAGTAAACAAAAGCAAATGAATGAAGTTCTTCAAAACAGAAGGTAGCAATAAGTCAGCTTCAGGCAGCTTTGAGCAGCAATACAAAACATGCGGTAATACAACCAATTTGGCCACTCATCTAAAAACTAAGAATCATCTTGCTTATTTGCAAATGATAAAAACGCAGAGTTCATCAAAAACTACTAAACCATGCAAAACAACATGATATATCGATATTTATCACGCAATAATTTATGATAATTATCGATACTGTTTAAAAATAATGATACGATAAATATAGATATATTTTTTTCACTTGCATTTGTAACGCAGTTAATATATATTATCTTACACTTTGTTCAACCGTCCATGCTGTAGGTGCTTGGCGTCCAGTACGCTTGTAAAGTTTAAAAATACATACATCAGTTTTAATTAAAATGTGATTATAATCTATGATAAACTCTTTGGTTTTAGTCTCAGAGTAAACTAGCATAGAGGGAATCCTAAAATAAAAACAAAATTCTTGTAGTAGAACTCTTCATGCATATGACGTTTTTCGTAGTACAAAATAAGATAGCCGTAATATTCTCACCTTCTTTCTTTTACAAGGTTGCCATTTTCCAAGAAATTTATATACTACTAACGTAGTAACTGGAATGTGCACCTTCGACTAAAACGCGGTCCGAGGGTGCTAGCGCCGCAGAAGCCTTCTGTCCTTGTCAGGTGGGCGACAACAAAATAAAAGTTATTGAGACATTATTCCTAGGTAAGGAACTGAGTAAACTATTTATTTGCTGTAATATTTATGTCATGTATTATAATACTGTAAATTTTATGTTTTTATATCTAGTAAATATAGTGAATCTAGAAATAATTCCTTGAGTGAATCTTGGGTTGTAGAGGACTATAAATGGGTACTGTTGACCAGTACCGTCTTTACCATAAGGGCACACGGGACCCGTGCCCAGGGCACGTCACGTATCGTCACGGGGGCCCCTGAAAGGCCGATATATTCGCTTACACTATGCAATCTTTTTTCTGTTTTAGGAAAATATACCCCGACACAAAATTTTTAAGAGTACATGAGGCCGTTGTTAGTAACTTTCTGGAAATCCTGAGCAGTGACAAGCTACACATTGCCGAGTTTGACAGAAAAAGTGGCATTGACAGTTTTCTTAGGTAGAAAATATGTAGTTCCACGTTTCGCCGCCATCTAAACGTTTTTTCGAGCTGTACAATAGCCTTACTCATAGCTTGGACATTTTTTTATTTTCGGAAATCTATGTATTTATATAATTACAGCTAAATAAATGTTGTTGATTAAATTGATTATAGAAAAAGACACGAATATAGGTTAGTAGCTTAGTGAATTTTAATCGGACACCAGATTTTTTTTTAAATCTTTTACTAAAAAGTGAACATTTTAATAATTATTAAAAAACATCTAAAAGTACCTACATTGCAAATTCGAGTTTGCAGAGTCTATACAATGCACTACATAGAAGTCGACATTGTGTTTGGTTGGGGGATTTCCCGAAATTTCAAACTTGAGTTTGTGGTATGATTTTGTTTTGTTTCATAGAAATTATTTAAAATAATGAAAAATATATCTCCTGATCCTGATACGTATTGTGATGAAATTTTAACAGAAGAATTACGCGATATTTAGATTAGAAAATGGCCATTATATTTCCAAAATAAAAATGGTGACGAAACTTCTGCAAATTTTCCAGATTCAAGCAATAAAAAAAACTATATATTTAACTATAAGTATTTTTACCCGTAAATTGATGAATGGTGATTCTTTAGAAAGAAAATGGCTCCTTTATTCACCGTCGAAGAAATCTGTGTACTGCTATAGCTGCCGTATATTTAATGATACTACTGGTACTGGGCATAATTTGAGTTCTCCAAATGAATATAAAGATTGGAAGCATGAATAAATGAATGAATGAATTACTTATAATTTATTAATTGGGCATGAGAACAGTTTATAGCACAGGCAATTAATGATGAATTATGTCGCAAGAAGCAAAAATACTGGAGGAGTTGACAATTAGTTACTGTCTCAATATAATACAGAAGTCAATTATTGGAAGAATGTACTTAGAAGAATTGTTGCAGCAGTGAAATTTTTAGCTTCTAGAGATCTTGCTTTTCGTGGTGATAATGAGATATTGGGGTTTGAAACTAACAGGGATTATTTAGGATGCCTAGAATTGATTACTGAATTTGATCCTTTTCTTGCTGATCATATACGAAACTGTGGAAATCGTGGAAAAGGAAGACTCTGCATTATATTTGTCTGCAAATATTTGCAATGAGTTTATTAATTTAACGGGCCAGCAAGTTTTATAAACAACTGTCAACTAACCTTCATCGTTAGATAGTAAAAAACGAAGAGCCTATTGAGAGATGTTTAGGCCAAATCTTAACATTTAAAACTTGCATTCAAAACACTCGTCTCGGCGCGTTCATCCGATAATATTTAGGCCCCCTTTCCCGCGCGCGTCTCTCCGCTTACCCTCGGTCGCCTGACGTGTGGACGATCAACCGGGCGGCCGTATCCTCCCAGTCTTAAAGTTACGCTCGAATCGTTCGGTCGCGTGACGACCGCCTCTGATTGCGTTGTCTTTTTCGTGCGTTTACGTGACAACGAGGCTTTTCTTGAGTTTTGAGTGATTAACTTAACTTCGATTGCCATTAATTTGCGTCGACGAGTTGCTTGTGTGGCATTTTAATATCGTACGAAGACATTTTTCCCTTGTCGGTTAGAACGCTAAGAATTTGTGACCCGAGAGGAGATCGCGTTCGTCTTCGATTATAATTTTGTGCTAAGTGACGTTAGACTTGAGTTCACATAAAGGTGAACGCCCATTGGAGTGATCGCACATTGTGGAGCTGAGCAGCGCATGTGGGTCTGCTGCCCGATTACATCGGTGAAGTCAGGTTACATTTATACACTTTCTCACTCCACTTACACCCACATACTTACCCCTGACGGTACCTTGTGGTCGACCCTACCTCCGGAACTCGGTAAGTTTGTGTTCGTTTATCCAGTCATTACATAATAATTATCCATAGGCCATTTGGGCCCGAACCCTCTGGTTGCCCGTCGAGTGGGCTACTCATGGGCCCTAGTCCAGTCGACTTCTGTCGGGGCAACTGAGGGCCGTAACAGTCTCTAGTAGCAGAGCGTGGTTGATTGTTTCTCCAATCACGCCCAGCCGTAATATAAAAAAAAAATTTTTGTTTTGTTAGCGGATCGGTGGTTAGAACCACGCCCGTTAGGCTGCGCAAGCAGGAGTGTAGTTTGGGGTTAGGTACCTACGCGTCAGGTATTTCGGGTAGGTAGATTAAATTGCCGAAGGGTCGGTCGCCTGAGCGAGGCATCTTTACTGTCCGACTGTAGTGTGTACTTGCCGTGTAGTGTAATTTGTATTTAATTTAATTTAATAGTTATTTGTATTTAGTAGTGATGCCATCACACAAGCCACTGGCGCT